AAAAATACATAAAAATGAAAGATAACGTGAATTGAGGTTTTATATTTAAAATCAAATTAAAAATCAAATGAGATTTTATATTAAGAACTGGAGGTATTATTTGTTAATTGTCAAAGATCTCTATTCAATTTGATGACGCAAATTGTTCCGATCAACTAACTCGTCCAACTACATTGTTCTTTAACATTTTTCAATGACGCCCGCTCATTTTCTTCTCGATATGAATGCTCCGTTTTGAACTTCCTTCGAAGAAAAAAAAAAGAAAGAAGGAAAAAACATATACTTTACGCGTGAAAGTGGGGGCACACAGAATGAAAGCTCAATTATAAGACCAATGTCATGACGTTGTAGCTACGTGGTAGTTGATTTTATTACGTTACTGCATTTTCTCATACCGATGTCTTAATGAAAGTTCAGTTGGGGACCACTTAACAAAGAATGAAAGACAGATTTACCCTCTTACGCGGAAACGGAGAAATATACACACACATATATGTGTGTGTGTACATGCTGCTGAGATGTACAGCTTTTGCCTACAACCAAAGTTTGCTGGAGAGAGAGATATATATCAATGGCAAAACTACCAGTGATTGAGATATTATTACACCTTGTCTGCTTGTTAATCTTAGTTTCTGTTGGGAGCAGTAATGGTTGCCACTTGATTAATTGCTTGGCCTCTGATCGAGAAGCTCTAATGGACTTCAAAACTGGGCTTCAAGATCATGGCAATGTGTTATCTTCATGGAGGAGTAGCAACTGTTGTGAATGGCATGGAATACAGTGTGACAACAACACAGGGACAGTTGTTGCAGTTGATCTCCACAACCCATACTGGGGTCCCAATTCTAATTCTTCACATGAAGGGTATGTATTCCGGAGCCTGAGTGGTGAAATAAGATCATCTCTGATGAATCTTAAGTCACTAAGGCATTTAGACTTGAGTTTTAACACATTCAATGGAGTATCAATACCTGAATTTTTTTTTTTTTTTTTATCTGAATACCTGAATTTTTTGGATCTTTGGAGAATTTGCAATATTTGAACTTGTCACATGCCGGCTTTACTGGCACCATTCCTCCACATTTAGGAAACCTGTCTCACTTGCAAGTTCTTGATCTTGGGTTTCTTGAATTACATGTTGACAATTTTCAATGGATAAATGGTCTTATCTCTTTAGAATATCTGGCGATGAATGGGGTTGACCTTTCGTTGTTGAAAGATTGGTTTGATGTATTGAATCAGCTGCCTTCTATAGTTGAATTGCATCTATCTGGTTTTAACTTACCTAGTTATATTCGACCTCTTGTGTCTCTAAATTTTTCTTCACTTGCTGTCATGGATCTTAGCTTTAATAACTTCCATTCAAAGGTACCAAATTGGCTTGTGAATACAAGTAGCCTGCAACATATTGATATGAGTGAAAGTGGCCTGTATGGAAGAATACCACTTGATCTAGGTGACATGCCAAATTTATTATGGTTGGATTTAAGTCGGAATTATGATCTTACAGCAAGTTGCTCCCAACTCTTTAGAAAAAGATGGGAAAAGATACAAATTATTAATTTAAAAGACAACAAAGTGCATGGAAAACTCCCCTCATCTTTGGGAAACATGACTTCTCTCACTAGACTTTATCTTGATTCTAATGCTATTGAGGGTAGTATTCCAAGTTCTATTGGAGAACTTTGCAATTTGGATCGTTTTTCTTCATCAAGGAATAATATGATAGGAAATCTACCTGAAATTCTTTAAGGAACACAAACTTGTCCTTTTAAAAAACCTCTACATAATTTGCAATATTTGGTTTTGAGGGACAATCAACTCGGTGGTAAAATTCCACATTGGTTAGGTCAACTAGAAAATATGATTGGAATTGATCTTAGCCATAATTTGTTTGAAGGACCTATTCCAACTTCTTTCGGATCAATGAAAAATCTTAATATCTTACAACTTGGAAAGAATAAATTCAGTGAGACTCTTCCAGAAAGTTTAGGACAACTTTCAACCCTATCAGGGTTGGATGTTTCTTCTAATCAATTGGAAGGCATAATATCTGAAATTCATTTTTCAAAGCTTACCAATCTGATATTCTTGGACCTATCCTTCAATTCATTCATTGTGAACATCAGCTCTAATTGGATGCCCCCCTTCCAAGTTGAAATACTTATGATGAGTTCATGCATTGTGGGGCCTTCATTTCCATTTGGCTCCAATCACAAAAAGAGATAAAACATTTAGACCTCTCAAATGCGAGCATTTATGATTCTATGCCAAATTGGTTTTGGACGAGCATGACTACCTTGTCTTTCGTATCTCTTTCTCATAATGAAATTTCTGGACAAATACCAGAGTCCATTGGAGATATGTGTGATTCTCTATTGACCATTGATCTTTCAAGCAACAACTTCATCGGAAGGATCCCTTCCAGCCTTGCAAATTGTTCCATCTTACAAGCACTAGATCTTAGCAAGAACAAGGTGTCAGGAGTTATTCCAAATTCCTTAGGTCAATTGCAACAGCTGACGTTATTGCACCTAAGTGACAACCAACTCTCGGGGAAGTTGTCATCATCATTCATGAATTTATCCTATTCGCAAACCTTGGATCTTGGAAACAATGAACTTTCCGGTGGAATTCCTTCTTGGATTGGAGATGGATTTTGAAATCTTGCAATTCTTAACTTGAGGTCCAATGCATTCTTTGGGGAAATACCTCATGAGCTCTCAAAACTAAGTTCATTGCAAGTCCTGGATCTTGGGGAGAATGACTTGAGTGGTAGCATTCCAACCAGTTTTGGTGATCTTAAAGCAATTACTGAAGAGAAAAGAAAGGACAAAAATTCAGAATATATGGTATATCAAGATGTGTACAATAAGTTCGTCTCCTATCAGGTTGAGGACTATCAAGATAGGTTGGTTGTGAACACAAAAGGCCAGTCATTGATGTACACCAAGACTCTTTCTCTTGTCACCAATATAGACCTTTCTGGAAACAAATTGTCTGGAAGAATTCCCCATGAAATGACAAAACTATCTGGTCTAATGTATTTGAATCTGTCAAGAAATCACATTACTAGTATCATTCCTGACAGCATATCAAATATGCATCAATTATCATCCCTTGATCTGTCCAGCAATCAACTTGCTGGCTCCATTCCTCAAAACCTGTCTTCCTTGTCATTTTTGAGCTACTTGAATTTGTCTTACAACAACCTTTCAGATCCCATTCCTTACCTGGTCAAACAACAACTTTTGAGGCACCTTCATTTGCTGGAAATCCTAGTCTTTATGGTTGTCCCCTTCCCGTGAAATGCCTACGTAATAATGATGACCTTGCCGGTGGTTCTGATAATGGAGCAAGTACTAAGGAAACAATTGATGGTGATGATGATGGGTTGATTGATCAAGGGTTTTACTTGAGTCTTGGTGTGGGATTCGCAGCTGGGCTTTTGGTACCTTATTTCATAGTATCAATGAAGAGGTCTTGGAGTGATGCTTACTTTGATTTTTGGGATGTAGTTATTATTAGATTTCTTGTGTTTTTGCATAAAAGAAAAATCAGCCAAGGCCGCAATATCAAGCCTCATCATAGACAATAACTGTGGTACTTGTATTTTATATTTTACGCTTCTTATGTAATATTCAGGTGTTTGTCATTTAGACAATGTTGTGACTTTTGTAATACTTAAAACTATTGAAGGTGAAAGACATATGGTTATGGGAACAGCCTCATTATACCTAAGATCATATGGTCTAGACGATACTTGAATTTTTAAAATCATAGGTACTATTTTAATATAAAATAAAATGTTAACGATTTTAATAATAATGCTGATGTTTTAATGTTTTAAAAATAAGTAATTTTTGGTTTTGAAAACCCTTTTCATTTATGCATAATCTAAGTGGTAAGTGCAGATTGTATGTATTATAAAAATAAATAGTATGCCGTGGAGTAAAATAATACAAAATTTTGTCATTATAGTTTGTATGAATTTTGATTTCAGCACTTAAAATTTAAAACCTTTTAAGAAGTTCATCGCAGGTTCTGTCATCTAAAACGCCAATATGTGGAATTATAAACCTTTTATGTATCATGACCAATCATTGTTAGTGCCAAAATGCGGCGTTAAAATAGGCGATACATTCTCCCATTTGGAAGTAAGATAAGAGGGTTCCATGTAAAAGGGGAAAGTTTCAAAACTTGGTCAAAATAGATATCATGGAGCAGTCATCTGATTCTTCTCTTCAAACACAAATCTGAAAATTCTCTGTTTTCAAACCAATGAATTAGAGATTTCTTTTATGCTCTTGAGGTGAGATTAACTATTTAAAGATATTAAAGAAAGTATTTAAATTAGTTATTTGTTAAAAATATGTATCGGTTTTTTTATGAATACCTTTTTTTTTTGTTGAAAGAATACCATTTTAAATCATTTGGACTGGAACTACCTTTAATGCAAGCTCACTTAACATATACAATCAATATGGTTAGTTTAGATAAATAAAAAAAACAAAATAAATTAAGATTTTATATTTAAGAACAAATTCAACCATATACTTATTCTTATATTAAGAATTGGAGGTGGTAACTATAAAGCAGCTTTATTATCTTTTTGAAATCTTAAGAGAAAATCCAAATCAAATTGAAAATCAGGAAATAGTGTTAGGATAACTAGTCATTCACATTTAAAATCAAGTTCAAAAAATAGTTTTTTGCGGGACAAATCCCTTTTTCCCCTAAGAAAATAGAGATTATTGTAGTATCATGCCAAAACATAAATTGAATACAAAATTTAGTATTCATCTTACCCTTAATATAAGACCTAATTATTGAGTTAATTTTAGTTATAAACAATATATTTTGTTTTTCTTTTTTACCTGCTCGAAATATATTTTGTCAGTTTATTATTATTGTTGTTATCATTATTATTTTGCCACGAGGGTTTTTTTAATTATTAATTTTTATCCTGGCAGGCCCATATCATTACGCAGAGCCAGAAAGCCGTAAAAGATCGAAGAAGATTAGACTGCGGTGGCAATGGCGACGAGCACCATCGCTGCAAATGCTATAAAGGGCAGCACTACTATGCTGTCGCTTTCTTCCTTGTGGAGAGCTAGGGCTCATGGCTCCTTTTCTTCCTTGGTAACTCGTTCTTCTCGCATTACTCAATCCAAATTCCCCATTTTCTCCATCTCCTTATCACCATCCCGAGAAAGAAGAAGAATCTCATCTCCCTTCTCTTCTTTTTGCACCGCTTCTACTGATGAAGCAGTGGCGGAATCCGTCGCAACTACTTCCGGTGATGCTTCTGGTAACAATGAAATAAATGTTAAGGACGCCGCCGGCTTGCTTGACATAAGGGTTGGGAGAATTCTAAGGGCGTGGAAACACGAGGAGGCTGACTCTCTTTATGTGGAAGAGGTGGATATTGGTGAGCCAGAGCCCAGAATCATCTGCAGTGGCCTTGTCAAATACATTCCTCTTGACCATCTTGAGGTAATTTTTCGATGTCAGCTTGTTATAAGGGTTGATTGCTGAGCCTTTACCAGAAAAAACTGCAAGATGCATCTTGCGGTGGTCTTCCATGTCAATTTGTGTTCTTGGACTTGGTAAGGGCGTTTAGAGAAGAACAGTGATTTTCCATACTTTACTTTCAAGGCCTGTCCTTTGTTGCTCCTTGAAATGAGAATTCTGTTAGCAAGACGGTTTATGTTCTGCAAATATTGCATAAGTTGATAGATTAGACGGATTTTTTCTGCTGGACTGGAGTAACTGTTTTTAAATCGAAGATAATTTTTCAGAATTGAACTTGAAGTCTGACATTGTTCAACGTAATAAATAATTCGTAAATGCAGGGCAAAAAAGTAATTGTCCTTTCCAATTTGAAGCCAAGGAACATGCGTGGTGTCAAGTCTTCCGGCATGCTCATGGCTGCTTCTGATGCCAAGCATGAGAATGTTGAACTTCTTTTTCCTCCTGAGGAAGCAGCCCCTGGGGAAAGAATATGGTTTGGGTCAGAAGATGAAAAGGAAAATCAACCTGCTCCTGCGACTCCCAATCAGGTAATAGCTCTACTTTATTAGATGATAGCTTTTTCCAATGAGGATAAGTTCTATAATCTAGGACAATGATTTTTTTACTGCTGAAAATATCGGGATAAGTTTGTTCTTGTCAGTTAGGACAATGATTTTTTTACTGCTAAAAATATCGGGATAAGTTTGTTCTTGTCAGTTATGGAAAAATTTTGTTGTGACATGAGAATAGTTGTCACTTTTGCATAATAGGAAAGGCACTAGTAGCTCCGAAACTTTAATTACAGCTAGTTATGAAGGAAACTATCGTTCTGTTAAACCCGGTAGGGCTCTGAAAATTATCTCAATCGTTGAAAAAACTATGCTTGTGTTTATAATGGTTAAAATTTTAAGCTCAGGCACTGATTGCTTTTCTTTTCATCCTCTCAGATCCTGATATTACCTGTTGACTTTTCTTTCACATATTCATGTGTACTTCCTAATTGTTGTTATACATGATACTTTGCCATCTTAAATATGGAGTGATTTTTCAATTGAATCACTGAATTTTATTGTTCGATGAGCCTCTCTTTCTGGGTTGTGTTGATGAAATGAGATCCATAACTATTTGGAATTGGTTTTGATGTTGCAACGAAGAATTCAATCACATTCTAGAGTTTAGGAATGAAGATCTAGAAACCTGAATAACAACAGGGCATAGAAAGAAATGAGTGAGACCAATTCCGTTAAATGAATTTTGGACTTGACTAGCATAAGCATAGTAATTCCAAAGAAAATGACAGTATAGTCTTGGACTGACCTGTTATCTGACTTGTATCTCTCCTACTCCAACAAGCTCTCAACGTATTACAAAAAGTTCATAGCAACTACACTATGTATAAGCTATAAGCAACGCAATTCATTTATCAAATTTTGTACAATAGACAAAAATATGTCTAGTTCAGCTGAAGGAAATGAAAAAGTGATAAAATCTCCTACATAGTACATTGTTTCTCTGTTATATCTAGGTAATTAATCAGTGATCTCAATCCCATGTTTCGATGCCATATTTACTATTCTTCTGTGATTACCTGCAGATTCAAAAAAAGAAGACCTGGGAATCCGTACAGCCTCATCTTAAGACAGATGCTTCTTGTATAGCAATGCTTGGGGAGCATGTAATGCGGACATCTGCTGGTGCAGTGGCATGCCAATCATTGCAGAATGCAAACATTTCCTGATTCTGTTGGGAGCATCATTTTTTTATTTGGTCAAGCAATGCTTATTGATATGCATTTATTTCTCACATTGCAATTTTGCTTGATGTGTGAAAGTTCAAATTGTATGTACTGTACTATGGATATGTTGCATGGTTAATAAGGAACTTTAGCATTCTTTGGCAAATAGGGCGAACTAACTGTATACTTGCTCGTAAATTATAGAGAGATTTGAAAACATACTGGATTTCTTTCACTTGTGAATTTTGAACAAGTGAGGAAGCAGTTTGATACGTCCATGACTTGCGTATCAAGAGAGTAGCAACAACGAGGGACAGATGGCACCATCGGAGAAAGAGAATAATGTGGCAATGAGGCAATCAATCAGGGATAGAAACACCCCCCCCCCCCCAAAAAAAAAAAACAAAACAAATCAAAGTTAGCTTATTATGCCATTCCATGATCAACCTTACTCTCAGAAACCATTGGCAGTATGGTTTGGCTAGGATCCTACAGAGAATATGCTTTTCATGTTCCGTTTGTTTTATGGTTGATTGGGTTTTATACGGGAGAATGACTTATAAAGATCATGGAAACACTGAAGGACCACGGATTTATGAAATTACAGACAAGAACCGAGATTATAAAAATAAAGATATCTGATTTCTTATGGCTAGTCTTATATGATCAACCTTAATGCCAGAAATCATTATCTGTATGTCTTATCTGTTTGTTTTATGTTTTATTGGGTTTTATTTCATTCTAACCTGCTGTTTTGTCAAGACTCGTCTTATATGAGCTTAATGATTCATACCAAAGAAGGTTATCAATAGAATGTGGCTTGTGTTGGAGAGAGCTCTATCCTTAGAGAGAGATCTTTTGTTGATTTTTACAGTGGTTAGGCTGTAATAAAGGGCATTTTTTATACGTGTCTTTTGCATATCGAAATGTTGGTAGTCAAGCAGCTTGGGAAAAGAAAATCCAAGACACTTCGAATTTCATTTTTATTAAAACGTCTGTGAATAGTGACTTGATCATGGGTCTAGGGCCTGCCCCAAAGGTAATTACAATATGGGCCTCGTGTATATTATGATGGAAGAGCAAGGAGTGACTTCCCCCCCCCCAAACTAAAGCATAAGTATCTTTTTATTGGAAGCAATCATATTCGAGATATTATCAGGCACTAAATGTGAGCACTACTCTCAGTGGGGATTTGAGTCGTGGTTCGCCACATTATGAAGGATTAGTTTTTTCCGTTATGCCTAACTCTCGTTGGTAAGAATAACTTTTATACCAACAACAAAACTATAACCAAAAAGGCTGGTTCCTTGTAATATGATTAAGTAAGATTCAAATTTTTGTTGAAAAATATTACTTTTAGGTTTATTTGATATGAAGTATTGAAAATAAGAGGCAAGAATTGGAATTGAGATTGAGAAAATTTATTAAAAAAGTGTCTAGTATAAAAAATTACTTGTTATTTGGGATTTGACAAACTCTTATAAGTGAGATTGAGAAATATTGTAGGGTAGGCCGTATTCTTCAATTCTACTTATATGAGTTTATCTAATTCAATGTAACAAGTGATTACTTATACTAAATATTCTTTTAATAATCTTTTTAATCTCAATTTTAATCTTTATCTCTTATTCTCAATGTTTCGTACCAAAATAAATCACTAGTACCCAGTATCCAACAATGTTTCAAACAGACTTTTGGTGGGAAGATACAATCAATCGACATAAATAAAGCTATGATTTTATATTATTTTATTATTTTAGTGAGTTAAATATACTTGTTTTCAGTTTAATGTATGTTTCTTTTATTAAAATCCTTAAAAAAAACAAAAAATTAACTCCTCTAAAATTTATATTAACTTTGCGATTTTGAATTAAGCATGCTCAATGAAAGGAGTCATAAAAATTACTTTTGTACCAGTTGCCTCAAAGTGTGGAAGTTAAGCACTACCTCCGATCTTATATAATATAAAAGTTCGTTTAACTTTTATTTTAATACTAGATATAAGACATCAATTTACTTTATCTCTCATATATATATATTTTAAGGTAGTCCTTATAATAATAGTAGTACTAGTTAATACACTTGATTAGTAAGGATATTTTAGAAAAGACAATACATATTTATAACAAATAACTAACTTAACTAATTTTCTTAATTTACTCAAATTAGTCAACTAACTTTTATATTAAGAACCGGAGATAGTATAAGCTATGTCTAATTTTGTTAATACATATTTTAATATTAAAATGGATAATCTTTTGTGTCATAAAAAAGGAATCCAAATTTTATAATTATAAATAAAATCAACTTTGAAATTTAATTTATATGGTTTTTTAAAAAAATTCTAAGTTTTGTTTATAAATTTATCTATCAACACTTGCACCTGTAAATTTTTATATTAATTATTATAAAGTGAATTGAGAGTTATAAAATTTTATATGTACACTAGTAAATTTTGTTATTATCACTTGTTAAAATATAAATGTGTACTGAAAAATGAACAAAGGTTATTTTCTACGTTTACCATCTAAACATAATTTTACTCTGGTTATTTGTACTGCAATATAACTACAGAATTTTGTAGTCTTTATTAAAAGTAAAAAAGAGAATGATAAAAAAAGAAATTAAAAATTACTAAATGTTAGACCAGGTAACAATATTTTATTTGATATTGACAATACTGAATTTGCAGATAACAATAAATGTTTGTAGACATTCTTTATTTGACATTTACACATTTTCATCCTTTTTTTGTCATTTTTCAAAAATAAAATCATATCTAGGGGGTTAATTGAAATTTCCTGTATTTTAGTGGTTCCAAATCAGGGTGCTGTGTTTTTTTAATTTGATATTATCTCCGGTCTTAATTATAAGATTTTATTTATAATTATAAATAAAATCTTGTAATTAGGATCAGAAGTAGGAAGATTTTTTCTTTCAAAATTTAAAGCGATTTTTGCCTTTTTCAACAAATATGAGATTTAATGCCAGTGCCGTTTTAGATGTCTTACTACGCGTTCAGCGTCGAAACGACCACAATAGTCCACGAACTGGCGGTTGGGGACCGAATGACCGATATTAACAGATGAGTATTTAATTAATTATAATTAATTGATTAATTGATGATACAATTCTGAAAGGTGAGAGAGAAGATATGAAGTTCGAAGTCAAACAAGAGTGACCCCCTGACCGATGAAAATTCATGTTCTTGTGTTCGATAATGCAGAATTCGATCCACTGTGGAATTATGTTCAGGTTTGGGTTTCTGTTTCTGATTTTGATCCCAACGCTTCTACCCGTGGCTTTCTCTAAGCACGAAGCTATAGAAGCTGTGCTCAAGCGGTTGGACTCCAAACGGGTCCCTGCATCAGTGCAAGAAGCCGCAGCTAGGGATCTTCTGAGAAGATTGTTTCCTTCCCATTTATCCAGTTTTGAGTTCGAAATAGTCTCTAAGGTGTTTGCTCTTATTTTCGTTTTAACTTGGTGAATCTTTTGATTTTATTTTGGGAGTTGAAAATGAAGCAAAGTAAACAACTTTTTATTCCCTTGTACTCTGCAGATATTTTTCATGATTTATAGTGCACTAAGCTGCATAGTCTAATTCAATGATCAGTGTGGGTACTCTGTGATAGTTATTGAATATGCTGAACTTATTGGAACCTGCATTGAGTCTTCCTACCATTGCTGATTAATATTATCATGTATCACCAAACTATTCTTTGCATGTAGCATTTTCTTGACAGAACATAAAACATGCTCTCTCAAATATTCAGGATGCTTGTGGAGGGGAGAGTTGCTTTCTGATAAACAATCACGACCACTCTAGCCAGAATGGGCCTGAGATTACGTATGTTAGATATAATTCTCACTGAAGACTATGGTGAATATTTCATGTTCTTTTTCTTTCTGTTCTTGGATTTAGACTTGATTCTTGACAATGTCTAAGGGGCATGTTAAGCTGGTGAACTCCACTGAGGAGAAGACTTCAGGATTTGCAGTACAGCTGGATATTAATTTTCTGAACTTCAGATCAAGATGAATAATTGATTTTCTTCACCATGTTTCACTATCATTTTGATCTTCTTGTGCGTGATCATTATTCTCCGTTAATTGGGACCAAGACAAGCAATATATGATGGAGATGTTTGATGTTTGAGGAGAAGTCTGGTGGCACACGCTGCCTATCTGACATTTGTGTGTTCACTTATTAATTTCTAGGATTAGAGGAACCACTGCAGTTGAAATTGCATCTGGCCTTCATTGGTATCTAAAATATTGGTGTGGTGCTCATGTTTCATGGGACAAGACTGGTGGCATTCAGACAGCTTCAATCCCTAAGCCTGGGTCACTGCCCCCTTTGAAAGATGAGGGTCTGATGGTTAAACGCCCAGTTCCATGGAACTATTACCAGAATGTTGTGACATCTAGCTGTGAGTCCTGAATCTTTGTTTCCATTTCATTTGAAAATATTGTTTTTTTCCTGGTCTTACTCTTTTGGCTATTACTGATAACCTTTTACTTGTAAACATAAGAAGTTAAATTTGGTCTTGCTGCATCAAGATATGCTGGTTTAACAGAAAATTGTGATGCTCCTAGAAACTTTGTTTCCCTCCTTACTTTGTTTCGTTATATGCTGGTTTTAGAAGAATTTCACATGCTTATCTTTCTCTTGATAAAATTTTCCTTTATTGATAAAAAAAGTGATATCCTTCTTTCTCATTTGATTGATGAAGACCTGCAATCAGTTCACATGCTTAATCTTTCTCTTGATAAAATTTCATATGCGATGGCTATAGATTATTATTGTTAAATTGCTGATACCCGCAATCACTAAAACTTTATATTACATATACATGAGCTTTCACAAGTGAACCTTGTTCACATATTTCTATCTTGCAACAAATGTTAGGAATTTCACCTGATGTAACTTGGTAGCCATTATTGGAGAGTTGAATTTCTAACATCTCTAGGTGGGAAAATATGAATTTAGCAGTTCTTGTGCTTGATGTTAAAGGTGAAGTAACATACTTGATATTGCTATACAAAAATCCAGTACATTTTTATCTCCATCCCCAATGTCAGATATGAAGCTGCAGAATCACCGAATCATGACCCTAAACTTTCTTTTATAAGAAAAAAATACATGATCCTCCTGAGATTTAGCAAAATGGATAGGAAGATTATAAAAAATAGTTCCTTGTACTATAAAATATATAAAA